AATAATAAGAAATGTTTAATGACTAAGATGTGCCTGATCCAAGCCATAGTCTTCTCAATTACTTGCTATGCTTCTTAAAATTGGACAATGGTTAAGGATGACAGAAGTATTGATGCCTTTGAGTTGTGATACTAGAGAAGAGTACTAAAAAATCCCATGAACTGCCAAAAGAACAAACAGGTCTGCCTTGGAGAAAGTGAAATAAAGGTATTCCTTGGAGGGAAGGATGGTAGAATTTCATCTCATATAGTTTGGGAGGGCATGTTGTTAGTAGGTTTCCAGTCCTTAGAAAAAACAAACAAACAAACAAACCCAACATTATGCTAGTATAAGTGAAGGGCCAGCATAGAAGCAAGTCTCTAACAAGGTGGATTGATGTGGTAAATACAACAACAGTCTCATGTATGTAGGAGATGGTGAGGATGGCGCAGGATAAGACAGAATCTGTTTTTAATAGGGTCTCCATGAGCTGCAGTTAGTTGGCTTGAGGGCACACAAGTTTCTCACCACAATCGTAAAGCAAAACAAAACCCAATAGTAATTAAAATCACAACCCATTTGAAAGGAAGAGGAGGAAATGTCCCTGTCACTTAACGGGAATCTGAACTTTTCTTTCCAGCTCATCTGTTTTTATTTGTGCTCTATTTCCTATTTTTTTTTTTAAAACCTACTTTTGAAACTATTGTAATTAACATTCAATTTCTGTGAAGTGGAATGACTAGAAAATTTTATATTTAAAATCACTGGCCACACCTAAATGCCATTTATATGAAAATATAAAGGAGGAAGTTATTAATTTATGATCACAGTTTCCAGAGCCTGAAGGAGACTTGGAGGATGTGACCTCACAGTCCTTTGGTTCTTCAAGTCACAACTTGATTTTCCTGCCTGGAAACTTGAGTTTGTATTTGCCTAACTAGGTCAGCATTCATCTAGTTTGGGTTGAGTTGCTGCAACAGAAGAACTAGGTTTCTATGCACAAAATCATTAAAAGATATGTCATTCTAGAAGTAATACAAAACCAGGGCAAACTGGCCACTCTTTGCCCTGAGCCACTGTTTCTATAGTTTTTCAGCTTACAGAATACCTTTTTGTCTTTTCTGCCTACATCTAAACACTGCCCTAGGATATTTTTTTTCTCTATTCTAAGCATAAAGCATTCCCAAATAAAATTTCAATGATTGCAAAATGCATTTTTAAAAAATTTTGATCATGGAAACCTTTGGGAGTCTAAAGTCTTTTTAAAGAAAGTAACACCAACCTGCTAAGTAAGCAAGAGTTTAAAACTGACTCAATTTTTTCAAGTCTCTGGAATTTGTATTATAAAATATAATAGCATCAACACATGTGGGATTTTTTTTCCCCATAAATTTCTGGAAATTTTACTGTAAAATATAAAACCAATATATATAAACCTCAGAGACAGTATTCCAGCCAGACAGAATTTCTCATGTGGTTTCTCTTTCTTCTTTTTATCCTTCTCAATAAAAGATTGCCCCTGCACCAGGAAATAGCAGCCACAGATCTCCAAGCACATTTGTGCTTTCGTAGAGGTACTGAACAGGAGAATAACTTTTCCATCACTGAATTTGGTGGCCTCAGAACTGTGGATAGAATTGAAAAAGAAAAAAAAAAACATCCTTAGAGAGTATTCTAAATCAAATATTAAAGATTCAGAAATAAGACCTCTTACAATAGATCCAGATGTACCATTCAACTTAGTCAATCTCACAACTTTGATCCAGATTTCAATCACAAGGTTGTAAATTACTAGCATATATTATAGCCAGCACTATGGTCTGAATTGTACTTTATTAGCAATATTGTTTCCATTCCCTTTCTACCTTTATCCATCTTTCCCTCTATCTCCATTTCTCTATCCCACTATTGTCAATCTCTCAAGGAGATTATCAAGTATATTAACAAGTTATGATTTTCTGGACCATCTAGTGTATGTCTCCTTATATGTCCTCTTTCTCATCACTCTAAAGAGAGTGTTAAAATTTCTGTACACTGATACTCATTGCAGCAATTTTCATGATAGCCAAAATATGGAAACAGCAGAAATCACCATTAACGTGTGAGTGAAACAAAATAGGATACATGCATACCGTAGAAAATTTCTCCCTTGCAAGTAGAAATAAATGCCTGGTGCTTCCTATAACTTTTATGAACCTTTAAAATGTTAGGGTGCATTAACAGGTCAATCACAGAAGGGAAAATACTATATTGATTGTCTCACTTATATTAAATAAACAAAATAAAAAAGATAAATATAAGTAATAGTTATCAGACGTGGAAGGAAATAGAAAAAGAGTTTTGCTCAGGGGACATTGAGCCTATGTTAATAGTTGCTGCTGTTGTTGTTAGGTGTTATCAAGTCAAGTACTACCCACAGTGACCCACTGAACAACAGTACTGAACCTTGTCCTATCCTGTGCCATCCTTACACTTCCTGACACGTAAGAGCCCATTGCAGCAGTCACCATGTCAATCCACTTGGTCGAGAGTCTTCTCTCCTTCACTGACCCTCTACTTGCCTAAGCATCATGTTTCTCTACAAGGAATAGCCTCTCCTAGCAATATGTCCAAAGTTTTTGTTAATTGCAGTGCAAGATTTTTAAAGGCATAGAGATAATGGTTGTACAACATGAAGAACAGGATCAATACCACTGAATTACACATGTAGAAACTGTTGAATGTTCTGTATGTGCATTTCAGAATTTAAAATACTAAATTTTATGTCCTTCTTTTGATATTTTCCCTAAAGTAGATGAAGATTATAATTTTCCATTTTAGATAGGAACTTGATATCAAGTAAGATAAAATGACCTCTGAGCTCAATGCTCCCTGACCAAAACCTCCAAATTATTGAGGAATAATGAAGTCAATTTGAGGACTTAGATGTGCCTGTGTCTGGCCATTGTCAGTCCCTTGCTACGCTGCTGAGAGTTGGACAGTGCATAATGATGAAAGAAGAATAATTGGTACCCTTGAACTGTGGGTTTGGAGAAGATTACTGACTATACCATGGATTGACAAAAGAATAGACAGCTACATCTTGGAGAGGCTCAGCCAGATTGCAGCAAAGATGATAAAACATCTTCCATACTTTGGATATTTTTCTCGAAAAGGCCATTCCTTGGAAAAGGACATCATGCTTGGAAACGTGGGGGGATGGCAAAAGAAAGGAAGACTTCAACCAGCTGGATTGACTCGGTGACTACAGCTACAGGCTTAAGTGTGTCAGATATTGTGAGGATGGCACAGGACAGGACAGGGTTCAGACCTGTTGTTCATAGAGTTGCTATGAATTATAGTCAACTTGATCACACCTAATAAGAAGAAGATAAAATGAATATTTATTAGTATATATTGATAATTTTTTTTTAAATGAGGAAAAATACCCAAACATTACTTATAACTTCCATATGCCTACTCCTGCCAACTGATTTCAACTGCGATGTACTACCATTGCGTTGATTCTGACTCATGGCATCTCTATGCCTCTATCTATTCCAGAGCAGAACAGCTTCAGAGGACTCCCATAGGACTTCCTTATGGAAGGAAATTTTCATGCCTCTGTCTTTGTCTTTCTTAGCTTTGTCTTCACAGAGCTAGAACAACCAGTGGGTCAAAATCACTGATCTTTCATTACCCTTCAAGACTGTAACCACTGCTCCAAAAGGGCTCCTTTTAGTGACCATAGAGTGATGGAAGGGGTGGAGCCAGGGGAAAAAATGACAAATTTCATCCATTCTTTGAATGAATTATCTCATGAATCATGATAAAAATGAACTTTAAAGGATATCATTTGTAAACTCAAAGTGAGTTGTGATTAAAATTCCAAGCTGTGAACTTATTTCTTGGTCTTGAAGATTTTGGAGGCCATCTTACTTACATACATTAAACTCCATGGACCGAGATGCTTCTATGGATAATCCGAAAGTTTTAATCTGTATAACTTTCTAAACTATACAAAAACGAAAAAGGAAAATATGATCTGAAAAAAGAGTAATCTTGAAGAAAATGAGATTTGTTCAGTTGACCAGAATCTGAGTTGGAATTGGCCCAACAACACCTAAGAACAACTACTGCTTACTAAATCCTTTTAAATACACGTAAAAACAGCCATTCCACACTTCGATGATCTAAAGAGTAAATGAGATAACATGTGCAAGATAACTAACATAGAAAGTATCCTTGTCACACATACGTTGTTATTGCTGATTGCCTTTTGAGTCAAGCACAACTCATAGCGACCCTATGAGCAAAAGCCTGAAGCCCCTCAACAACTATCGACATTTATCAAAGTTCATAGAGTTTCCAGAGGCATTTTATTTAGGAACTGGATGCCACTCCTGCTTTCAAACCTGTCATAGTATGTTATCGTTGTTATGTGCCATTGAGTCACCTGCAATGCTATGGATAGCAGCTCTGAACCTTTCCCTGTCCTGAGCCAGTCTCACTAATTCTGACACACCAATTCCAATTGCCCCAGTTACTATATCAATCCATCTCATCCGGGGTCTCCCTCTCCTGCACTGTCCATCCACCTTTCTGAAAATGATGTCCTTCTCTAAGGACCAGTCTCTCCTGCCCACATGCCCTAAGTATGTGAGATGGAGCTTCAAAATCCTAGCCTCCAAAGAGAGACTTGGTTTCACCCTCTCCAAGGCAGACCAATTTGTTTTCTTGACAGTCCATGGTATGTTTAAGACTCTTCTCCAACACCACAACTCAAAGGAATTTATTCTTATTTTGCCATCTTTAATGAACTCTCTGAAGCATAACAAGTAATTGAGAAAATCATGCCCTGGATTAGGCACCTTTGTCACAATATAGTAAAGAAATATTCTTGACTTTCCTTCTCTTGTGCCTATACAAGATATATCACTTAATAGGTCTCCAAAAGATGCTTATATAAGACTCTATAAAATTACCAAATAAGTCAGAATGGATGTCTAAGTGCATACACTAATATTCTGCTAATGTTTTAGGGCATACTTGGACAATCTCAAAAAGGAGAGAAAAATGGCTATGATGGTTCCACAGACCCATTCTTGGATCTTCATCAATGAGAAGAACTTCATTACCAGGTAATCCTATATTGTTATTAAATGTTCTCTTACCAGCCATCCGTGGAATATATAATTCAAAGTTATCAACAAATATAAGTTTTCTATTGAGAGATTAAATAAGAAGTTGAGTGAGTTTGTTTCTAAAATTGCTAAACAATAGACACATATTCCATAAGTGGTGGTTTGGTCTTATTAAAATTTAAATTTCTTTAATAGTTGGGAAAATTCTCAAGAGCAGCATTAAATGAAGTACCTAAGCCTCTTCATAAGTGGAACATCCAGAGAGAGAATTGGCCCTGGGATAAAACAAAAATCCATTTGTCCTGGTCTCATCTCACTTGGGCTTTCTTTTTACTAACTTCCTCTTGATATTAGGTTATACAATATATGACCAACTTCCATGGTTGTTTCTTATACACAGCAAATGGTATATTATCTTTGAGAATAAAAGAACAGTAATTTGAAACGTATAGAACTCAAATAAGAACTGAACTCACAGAATCTAGAACAGAGGCTGAGGAGAAAGACCAAGCGACACTGGAAGAAATCCAAGTTTTATAAGGGGTAGGAAAAGGAACAAAGCCAAATCAATGGGCAGGGTAATGAATTTAAGTGCAGCAGGCTGGAAAAACAAGAATTTAGAGAACATAAATTAAAAAATTGGACCTGAAGGAACAGCTGGAGGATAAGCATGAGGCATAAAAGGCAAGGAGAAAACATGAAGTGAGAAATAGAATTCATCCATTCACTTATTCTTCATATCCTTATTGACTGCTCATTTTGGACAGGTACTTTTCTGAACCCTGTGCATTAATCAATGAATGAAACAAAGTCTCTGCTTTTAAATTCTAAAAGACATTATTTGATAAGGTGAATGAGTAAAAATACGTGCTACTAGGTAAAGAAGGGTACAAAGAATAAAGTAAGAAAGGGTAGTAATAAGTGTTGGAAGAAGGAAGATGGATGATTTGACATGAAGAGGTAGCATAGATATAAATGCTGGGAAGGAGGTGAGAGTGCTGGCATTCAGATATCTTCCTGAGGTGTGTCAGACTCAGACTGGCCCAGGATATGGTAGGGTTCACAGTTATTGGACATAGGAATGCTATGAGTTGTGGGCAACTTGATGGCACATAACAGCAGCAGCGACAACAACAACATTCTCTAAAAGTTTATGAGGTAGCAGGTAAGTGAGAAAGACAGTAGAAGATGAGATCAGAGACAAGAACATATATGATCTTATAGGCAATGAAAAGATTTGTGGCTTTTCTACTAATTAAGATGAACATTCCCTGAAAGATCTTGAACACATGAGTGATAAGATCTGACAACAGTTTCCTAAGAACACTCTAGCTGCTGTATTTAGAAGGAAAAAGAAGATAAACCATTGAAGACCTTAAAAGTCTAGAGTAGAGAGGATGGTATCCTTAACCAAGAATTGGAAAGACAGGGTCCAATTATTAGTTTATTTTTAATATATAGACAAAATAATTTCCTGAATAATTTATGGGGTGGGAGATACAATATATTCTGGTCTAATATTTATTGTATATTAGACTATAAAACTGAGAGAATAGAGTTAATATTTCCTGATATCATAAAAGTTTCAAGAGATGCAGGCTTGGAGTAGATAATGTAAAGGGGTCTTAAACATGTTAGATCAGCCCGGCTGAGGTGTCAACTTTAGCAGTTGAATCTGTAACACTGGAATTCATCAGAGATGATGACACTTCAATTTGCATAATTTGGGCATGTTACTAGGAGAGGTTTTTCCTTGGAGAAGAACATCATGCTTGGAAAGGTGGAGAGGTGGTGAAAGAGAGGAAGACTTTAAACAAGGTGGATAGACCACAGTAAATGTAGCAATGGGCTCTAGTGTGCCAGAGATTGTGAGGATAGGGTTCAGGTCTGTTGTTCATAGGATCATTACTAGTCATACTCAACTTGACAGCACTAACAAAAGATCTGGAAAAAAAAATTGTAATCATTAATATAGCATTAGGGAGCTCTGGTGGCCTAATGGCAAAAAAAACCTCACTGTGATCCTGAAGGCATGCAGTTCAAGGCCACCTGCTGTTTTGAGGGAGAAGAATGGGTAATTTCCTCCTATGCAGTTAACTGCCTCTGAAAACCCACCAGAGGTCAGGTATGGGTCGGCTTTGACTCTACGGTACACACAAACTCAACAATATGGTATTAAAATAGCTTCGAAAGACACAAGATTAAATAAAAGTATTAAGGGATTTTCTTTATTTCTAATAAAGAGAAGTTAATCTGTTGTTGTTAGGTGCCCTGCGCTGGAGTAGGACTCAGTCAGTGGTCCTGGGAACAACAGATATGAAACTGGTCCTATCCTGTGCCTTCCTCATAATTTCTGACACATTCAAGCCCATCCCTGCAGTCATCATTAAGGGATTAACTCTACTAAAGAATTTAATCCCTTTTTGTAATCCCTCATTAATTTTATTTTACATCTTTATATTCCATTTGAATACTGTTTTTTTAATTATGGAATTAGAGAGCACTGGTGGCCTAATAACACGAAGTTGCCCTGCAATCTCAAAGGCACAGGTTGGAATCCACCATAATATCAGTGCATTGCTGGGGATGGCGGGAGGTGCTGGACAGGGTAGGCAAGTGTGCAAGTGGTGCTGATATAGCAGAGAAAGGGAAGGGAGAAGACACACATGCAGGGGAGGGCTCTTTGTGCATGGTTATCTCTGTAAGGCTAAGTGTCTTTCATTTGCTCCTTTCACTAAAATGCTTGTCTGTCAGATGTTGTTCCAAAGCTAAGCATCCAAATTACAACAGATTGGCCACCCACTTCTGAAATATAACAGCCATTTGAAAACACTATGTGAAATAGAGAAGACTTAGAGTAGAATAGCAGATATGGCAATTGAGGCTCAATCAATGATTTATTCATAGCAAATATCTTTTATAAGAAACATTAAATGCAGGCTACACAGGCTATACACATGGATATCACCTGATGGTATACACAGGAATCAGACTGATTATATCGGATCATTGAAGAAGTTGAATATCAGCTGTGAAAATTAGGTCAGATGTTGATTGCAGAACAGCTCATCAACTACTCATATGTAAGTTCAAATTAAAGCTAAATTGAATCCACAGAAATAAAAATTTGATTTTGAGTCGGTCCTATCTGAATTTAAAAACCATCTCAGAAACAGGTTTGAGGCTTTGAACACTAATGAATGAAGACCAGATGAACTGTGGGAGGATATCAAGAATAATATCCATGAAGAATGCAAAAGGTTATTACAGAAGAAAGCCAAAATGGATGTCAAAAGAGACTCTGAATATTGCACTAGAGTGCTGAGAAGCCAGAGCAAAGGGAAGAAATCAAGACATTAAGGAGTTGAGTAGATGATTTCAAAGGGCAGCAAGAGAAGGCAAAGCAAATTATTATTAGACAAAAAAAAAAATATTACTGGAGTCCAAAAAAATCTAAAGGGCCAAACATGCTTTGGCATTTCTTAAGTTGAAGGAACTGAAGAACAAATTCAAGCCTTGAGTTGCAATACTTAAGGATGCCATGGGCAGAATATTGAATGATCCAGAAAGCATTCAAGATGGAAGGAGTATACAGACTCACTATACCAAAAATAATTCGCTGACACAGAAGAATTTTAAGAAACAACATATGATCAAAAGACAGTAGTGATGAAGGAGGAAGGAAGTGAAGACTGCTCTGAAGTATTTGGCCAAAAATAATGCACCAGGAGTTCATGGAATACCAATTGACATATTTCAACAAACAGATGCTGCCCTGTACATGGTCACTAGATTGTGCCAACAAATCTGGAGGACAGCTCCTGGGCAGCTGACTGGGAGAGATCCATATTTATTCCCATTCTATAAATATGTGACCTGACAAAATGTGGAAATTATTGTACAATATCACTAATATCACACACAAGCAAAATTCTGCTGAAGATTATCCAAAAATGACTGGAACAGTACATTGACAGAGAATGATCAGAAGTACAAGCTGGCTTTAGAAGAGGCCATGGCACTAGAAGGATTATTGTCAATACCAGATGTATCTTGGCACAAAGTAAAGAGTAGCAGAGAAATATCTGTGTTTCATCGACTATGCAAAGATATTTGACTGTGTGGAACACAACAAATTGTGTTTAACCTTGAGGAAAATGGGAATCCCAGAACATTTGATTGTGCTTATATGAAACATATATTTAGACCAGGAAGTAGTCCTTAGAACAGAGCAGGGAAACACTGCATGGTTCAGAATCAGGAAGGGAGTGGAAAAGGGTGGAGTCTTGTCTTCATACCTTTTCAATCTATATGCAGAACAGACAATTTGGGAAGCAGGGTTTTATGAGGAGGAATATGGCATCAGGATTGGAGGAAGATTCATAAACAACCTACATTATGTAGATGACACCACTTTGCTTGCTGAAACTGAGGAGAACCTAAACTGCTTGCTGCAGAAGGTCACAGACTATAGCTCAACATCAGTAAGGCAAATAGTCTCACCACTGGGACAATTGGTAGCACCATGATAGATGGAGAAAAGATTAAGATTGTTAAAAATTACAGCTTGCTCAGCTCTACAATCAACACTCTTGGCATCTGCAGTCAGGGAATCTTAAGACAAATTGCATTAAGTAAATCTGCCTTCAGGGACCTCTCCAGGGTACCGACAAGCAATGATGTTAGTTTAAAAAATAAGGTGTGGCTAATCAAGGCCATGGACTTTGCAATTACTTGCTATGCATCAGAGAACTGGACAATGGCTAAGAAGAATTAATGCCTTTGAGTTGTGTGCTGGAGAAAAGTCTTAAACATACCATGCACTTCCAAGGAAACAAATCTGTCTTGGAGAGGGTGAAAACCAAGTTTCTCCTTGGATGCTAGATTTTGAAGCTCTGTCTCACATACTTTGGGCATGTGGTTAGGAGGAACCGATGCTTAGAGAGGGACATCAAGCTCACAGAAAAGGAAGACCCCAAATAAGAAGCATTAATACA